GCGAGAATCTTTGTCTTCTTGACATTGAACCTTAGTCCATACTGAAGGCTGCAGTCCTTGACCCTTCGCAGCAAGTGCATGAGGTCCTCCTCAGTTTCAGCAAGCAGGGTTGTGTCATCTGCATAACGGAGATTGTTAATAGATCTTCCACCAATCCTGATGCCACAATTCTCCTCATAGAGCCCAGCCTCTCGGATAATCTGCTCTGCATATGACTAGGGAGGACAGAAGGAGAGTGGATGCTTTTGAGCTGTGGTGCTGGAGAAGGGTACTGAATGTACCATGGACTGCCAGGAAAACAAACAGATTCATCTTGGAGAGGATTAAACCAAGCTACTCCTTGGAGGCAAGGATTCTGGGGCTTCGTCTGACATACTTTGGACATGTTGCCAGGAGGGACATCATGCTTGGGAGGGTGGAGGGATGGTGCAGGAGGGGAAGACCCTCTATGAGATGGATTGATTTGGTGACTGGGGTAATCGGGATGGGTGTGTCAGAGGTGGTGCGGTTGGCGCAGGATAGAGCAGGGTTTAGGGCTGTTCTGCATAGGGTCGCTATGAGTCGCAAACGACTTGACGGCACATAACAACAACAATGCGAAATCTATACTTGGACCAGGAGGCAGTCATCAGAACAGAGCAAGGAAACACTGCATAGTTCAAATCAAGAAAGGGTATACACCAGGAATATGTTCTGTCTCCATACCTTTTCAATCTGTATGCAGAACAGATCATCCTGGAGGCGGGGCTTTATGAAGAGGAATGTGGCATCAGGATTTGAGGAAGATTCATGAACAACCTGCATTATGCAGATGATATAACACTGCTTGTTGAAACAGAGGAGGACCTCAAGTGCTTGCTGCAGACAATCAAGGACTGCAGCCTTCAATATAGATTAAAGCTCAACATCAAGAAAAGAAAGATTCTCACCACTTGGCAGATGGACAGCAATATGATAGATGGTAAATAGATTGAGATTGTTAACAGCTTTAGTTTGCTTGACTCCACAATCAATACTCTTGGTACCAGCAGCCAGGAAATCAAGAGACGAATTGCATTGGGAAAGTCAGCTATCAAGGACCTCTTCAAAGTACTGAAAAATAACATCATCAGTCTGAATTAGTAAAGTGTGCCTAATCCAGCCCATAATCTTCACAGTTGCTTGCTGTGCGTCAGAGAGCTGCACAGGTAGTCGGGATAATAGGTAGAGAATTAATGCCTTTGAGCCATGGTGCTGGAGAATAGCACTGCCAGAACATACTGGTTTGTCCTAGATAGGGTGGAGCCAGGCTGCTCCTTGGAGACAAACAGCTTGTGATACAGTTTACACATAACTGAGAAAAACATCTTCAAAGAAGTTAATGCTGACCCAGAAAAGAATGACATATATCTGAGAAAAACCATTTCAAAGAGGTAAATACTAATACAAGAAAGATACAGTTCCTTTTCTGGTGAACAGTTTAAAGTTCTTTCCATGATTAAAGAAAGTAAAATAGGATTCTAAGGTTGGGAGCAACTGATAGCAATTTTACTACTATATATTTGAATTATCTTGAATGTATTTAATACAACCTTATCATTCAGGCTCCCCCCCCTCCCAGTCTGTTTTAATCTGGAGGCTTCACTGTAGTCTGTCCACCATGGGTGCCTCCTGGTATTTGAAATACTGGTGTCATAGCTGCCAACATCACAATATCTACCACCAGAGTCCAAGAAATGGCAGTACAACTTGCCAGCTAAGACAATTGGCTTCAAAGCAGAGTCTACCTTGGACAAGACTCCACTCAGTGCCAGAGACCTTTCTGATGCCCATCCTTTCCAAGGAGTTCTGCTAACACGTAGAATTCATGTATATACATTTTTTGAAAATGAATTTTATTCTCATTTATCTTAGAGAGGATTTTACATCCTAGGAGGATAAAACCCACTGAACATACCACTCGTGACTGACCACCCCTCACTCGGGTTTCTCTGCTGCAGAACATGTGTTTAAAATGCCAGTTTTTAAAAAATCCACTTAGAGAAAAGGGATTCTCTTTCTGTCTTTGACAAGAGCAGGGGCAGGATTTGGGGAGGTGGTTCAGGCAGGAGTCCTCTGCAGTGTGTGCTCCTGGGCTCGCAGACCTCAAAGCTCCTCCTCCTCAGAGCACAATTCCTCCGACAAGGATTTGTGACTGGCTTTGTTCCTCTCGGAAGCAGCCTGGTTTAATTATTGTTTATTCCCCACAACTTTATTTTTACAGCAACTCGGAATTCTTTCTAGACGGTTAATTGCAATCTGAGCATTTACACTGGTGTTTGTAAAGGCACAGCACCATTTCTGTATTATAGTTTTCCTTGCTTTGTTTTATGACCAAGCTGTTCAGAGTTGGAATAAGCCATTAAAAGCAGCTAGACCTTAATCTGTCTTTATGTGAGAGCTTTTCTGGTAAATAAGCTGACTTTTTTTTTGTCTAGTAAAATTTTGTTTAAACCCTCTAAACCTTGGAAAAATTGAGATGCAGTTACTGCAAAATCTGTGCTCCATTGTTCCCTTCTCTTGCCCATTTCCTAATTAGAAGGCTTGCAGGCTGGTTGTGTTCTACTGTTCTTATTAGGTGAGGTGTCCTGTGAATCTAGGGTCTGTGCTTCATACCAGAAGGCACAACACATTTGCCTGAAGTGCATCTCTTGTCACCTCACTAGGCTACTTCTCAGGCGTTTGCATATCTGTTTCTATTTGATATATTTATTCTAAAATGCTACAGACAATACCTGAAGACACTGTATCTGAGTACGTGTGTATGTGGACGTGAATGTGTGTGGGTATGTGTATACAAGTCTGTAAAAATGCTAGTGTGTGTGAGAGAATGTGAATGTTTAAAAGTGTGTATGAGAATTTGCAGTGGCATGTGCACAAGTATATGAGAGTGAATGTGCAATGACAAGGGAGTTTGTGTGCATAATGTGTGTGCTAGGTGCACATACCATTGGAGCAGTATAGAAGAATTTCACCCAGTTGTTGCTGGACTTTTAATAGTAACCCACTGTTTTAAACAAAACCAGATTAATGACCTTGAAAGTACTGAGCAGCCAGATCCAGTACTTTCTTTTTTTCTTCTTTCAGTAGGCTTGTTGCTGGATTATGATACCCATTTGCAAAATAGCATATTGATACCAACAGCATTTCATTTTTTTCTTTAATTTTTTTTTTAAAAAAAACAAGTGTGCTCCATATTTCCAAATAAAAACAGACAGATGCTGGCTCAGGTACTAGCCTTGAGCAGGCCTACCAGTGCCAGCCCAGTGGCCCTGGCTTGTCAGTATGTGCTGCCCATCCTGTGCCCCAAAGAGGGAGGTGAGAGGAAAGCAGGGCCTGTAGTGGACCAGTTTCCACAGCTGTTTGAATTCTATATAAACAAAGAATTCATTGTTTTCAATCCTGGGAAGTGGAGTGGTAGGATAATTTTTAGTTAAATGTTTCCTCTCTCCCTCCTGTTCAGACATTGCTTGTTCTTTCCCTTCAGACTCTGAGCAAATTTGTGAAAAGGGGCTGGAGTAGCAGGCAGTTCAGGAGGGGATGGATAGTGTGCTGGGAGAAGGGAAAGATGTTCCTTCCCCATTTGGCCACAGCTCATGGCCATGTACATGCAGAGGCCAACTCAAACCTCATCACAGTGCCATTGTACTCCTTGTATCTCCACCTTCTCAGGTCTGACCTCAGAGTCTATCTTGTTGATTGATGGGTGAACCTGCCTGCTTGCTCACAGAGGTCTTGGGACCTCTGTAGGGGGTCAGACTCTCTAATATGAGGAGTGGGGGAGGTTAGGGCTCAGGCCTCATTAAAGGGCCAGTTTTGACCCAGAAGGAAGGGTGGGCATGCAGCTCCCTGGAAGCTCTCTCTAGCACTCAGTGAGACTGCCACATGGTAAAGAGAAGACCTTTTAGTGCCTCAAAGCTTAGTTTTCTGACGCTGTTGTGGTTCTGTGCTCTTGAGCTAGGGAAAACTCATAGGACCCTGTGAACAACATAGTTAAACCTTACCCTATCCTGCAGTATCCTCATGATCTCTGATATGCTCTAATCTGTTCTTACAGTCACTGCATAGACCCATCTTGTTGAGGAGCTTCTTTCTCTGATCTTCACCAAGTGACGCTTCAAAGAACCAACATGTCACAAACCTAAAGGCAAGAAGTCTGAACTCAAGTGTCAGCAACACCATGTTCTCTTTACTGAGGAAGGGTCTTTTTATTAATTTTTCCTAGCTTTTGCAGCCCAGGCATCTCTTGGCATTCCATGGCTTGTGGTTTTTATCTCCCTCCATCTTCACATCATTGCTTCCTCTTTCACTCTTTCACTCTTTCTGTTCCTTTTTATAACCCGCCATTCAGAAGATTTTCAACCCACCTTACTCCATCTTTAAAGATGTCAGTTAAATCTGTCACATACAGGTTGCTGATGATGTAGATAGATTCTTGGAGCAGATGTGTCTGCACTGTGACGCCTCTGCCGGCCTTTCCACTGAAGATTGCCTCTACCCTGAACAGTCTTCACACTTCAGATACCTTGCTGTTCACACACATTCATCTATTTGCCTGAACTTTCCTTCCTGTCTTCCAGAGGCTGTACCTCACTCATGCAGCATCCCCCTGACTTATGTTTGAAAAACTGTGACTTAGTTTCCAGCATCACAATAACACACACTGCACCACAGTTTAGCACTCTGACAGAGGGTGGTATGTGTAATGGATAAAGAGAATTACATTAGAGAATACATGTCACCCTGTAAGCACATGCCTGACATCTAGTAAATTCTCATTTGGTGGTAGTGGTGGTGATTATCAGATGAGCATGAAGCTCTTTGCCTGCAATCCCATGTGAACAGTGAAGACGAGAGGGCCAGCCCAATGAGCAGCTTTATCCTGTTGTTCGTTTTGTTAGGTGTGATGTTAGTTCTGTAGGTTTGCTGGTAAGGGCGGAACCTGTATTCTGAAGAGGATATGTTTTATGTCTCCACTACAGGAATTGCTTACTTAGGAGGTGTGTGCAGTGCAAAGCGGAAGTGTGTGCTAGCTGAAGACAATGGCCTCAATTTGGCCTTTACCATTGCTCATGAACTGGGCCACAAGTAAGTATATGTCCAGGGGTGGTTATGCCTCATTAAATTTATATTTGAATATCTGGTTTTGACTGATCTTTTAGTTCTAAAGTAGTACGCCTGTGTGCCTTTACTGCTTTTACAATGAGGATTGGGGGGTGAGAGCTGAAAGGTCACTATGGCACAGAAGCCCTCTGAAAGTCAGAATGTTCACTTGATGTTCTTGTCTGTCCTTAAAGCCAGCTGATACCTGGAATAGGGTGCTCTCCCCTTCCCTGAACAGTGTGGTGCACTCATGGATTTATCTTTATCCTGTTGCCATTCCTATTTTATTTTCAGCTAGTTTCCAGTATAGTTTAACTTTCTGAATATAGGGCTCTCTGGTGTTCTGGTAGGTTAAGAGTTAACACCACTAACTAAAGGGCAGGATGTCTGTATCCACTAGCTGCTCGAGGGGAGCAAAATAGACAGTCTCCTTTTATGCACTTTATAGCTTTTGGAAACTCACAGTAGGGTCAGCTATGAGTTGATTCTGACTAGGAGTTGAGCTTTCTGAATGTAGAATTTCAAGGTTTTCTTTTAATAAATTAATTACTGCATTTGCACATGGAATTTAGTTTTACTGCCAACACAGTGGCATGTGGCTTGAATCCACCAGTTGTTTTGCGAAAGAAAGATGAATAGTCTCTTCCTATGCAATTTACTGCCTCTGATAAACTACTGGAGGATCATCTATGAATTAATTCTTACTCAGTGGCAATTAACAGCAATAACAGTATCACCTGCTGAAATAACCAGAATCTTAAAGCAAGATAGAATCTAAGGAAACCTCAGTTTTTAGATGAAGAAACAGGATAAGAGAGGCTGGGAGCTGACCTGGCTTTGACATCATCATTCAAGAGAGAAGTCTCAGGTGGCAGAAAGCCAGCTGACTCCAAAATGTTTACTTTTTTTCCTCCTCAAAGAGGTGTCTGTTTTATGTTTCTATGACAATATTCTCTAAAGGTAACATTGCTATGGTATTGTTTGAGAGCACAGGATTAGGTAGGAGAGAAGGGAAAATAAAACAGAAATATTCAAATTTATGGGATCAAAGATGGGAGAAGAGTGGGAATTAAGCTGTGGGAATAAAATAGTACAATTAAATGGAAATCTAGTTCTTAAAAATTAGCGTAAAAGTTTCCTAATGACTGCATCAGATGAGACTTATCCCTACCTTCATAAGATTAACGTGGAATGCATAAACCAAATGTTTAAATCAATGCTTTTTCTTTACTATCAGCAGTTCTGGGACTTCATTCATTCATTCATTTATTTATTTTTCGGTGGTGCTGTTTTATTTTATCTGGTAGCATTTTCATTTATTCCAATACTAAGGAGAAAGGTTTGACAGTTGATTTTTGTTTACCTGTTAGCTATTGTGATGTGGGTGCAGAGAGTAAAAATAACATTATGTATATTTCCTGGACTAAAGAGAAAATTGTTTGTTACTGTCCCAGGGCCTACAAGCATAAAATGAGCAATTCCCTTTAATTACATTGTTGTTTAATCTTGACAATAATTTTCAAATATTGATGGCACTATAACTTTGCCCAAAGTCCTAGAATAAAATTTTTTAAGTGAAATACAATCTAATTCTTATCTCTTGAGTGGCAAAAGGCATGTATCAAAGAATATCTGATGAGGAGATAATGAGATATAAATCAAAATGACTTTGGGAAATAGTATTATGTTTCTACTTAGAAGCAGTCCTCAGCACAGAGCAAGAAAACACTGCATGGCTCAAAATAAGGAAAGACTGTGTCAGTGCTGCATCCTGTCCTCATACCTTTTCAATCTGTATGCAGAACAGATCATTTGGGAGGCAGGGCTTTATGAGGAGGAGGGTGACATCAAGATTGGAGGAAGACTCATTAACAACCTACAATATGCAGATGACAGAACTTTGCTTGCTGAAACTGAAGAAGACTTAAAGCACTTGCTGCAAAAGTTCAAAGACTGTAGTCTTCAATATGGATTGAAGCTTAACATTAAGAAGACAAAGATTCTCACCACTGGGCCAATTGGCAGCACCATGATATATGGAGAATAGATTGAGGCTGTTAACAATTTCAGTTTGCTTGGCTTCACAATCAACATTTTGGCACCAGGAGTCAGGAAATCAAAAGACTAATTGCATTGGGAAAATTTGCTGTCATGGATCTCTCCAGAATGCTGAAGAGCAATAATGTCAGTCTAGGTACAAAGGTGTGCCTAATCCAGGCCCTGGTCTTCTTAATTACTTGTTATGCTTCAGAGTTGGACAATGACTAAAGATGACAGAAGAAGAATAGATGCCTTCAAATTGTGGCGCTGAAGAACAGTCTTGAATATACTGTGGACTGCCAATAAAACAAATCGGTCTGTCTTGGAGAGGATGAAGGCAAGTCTTTCCTTGGAGGCTAGGATTTTGAAGCTCTGCCTCACTTACTTTGAGCACGTGGCCAGGAGAGATTGGTCATTGGAAAAGGACATCATTCTTGTAAGGGTGGAGGGACAGTGCAGGAGAGGAAGACGTTTGATGAGATGGATTGAGACAGTAACTGGGGCATTGGGGGTTGGTGTGTTGGAATTAGCGAGACTGGCTCAATACAGGGAAGGATTCAGAGCTGCTGTACATAGTGTTGCTATGACTGTGTACATAGTGTTGTATCACTGGTATGACTCAACCAGTAATATGCTATGACAGCTTTGGAAGCAGTAATGGCATCCACTTCCTAAACAACATGCCTCCAGACACTCTATGAACTTTGATAAATGTCGATAGTTGCAGAGGGGCTTTGGGCCTTTTGTTCATAGGGTTGCTATGAGGCATGCTGGACTTGAAGGCCATCAACAACAACTACTTAATCTCTCTACTGTAATTCACTTGGCCCTTCATTAAAAACAAAACAAAACAAATAGCTAGTTGTTGAGATAATTCCATATGACAAGGACCTCCTGCATTCAGTAGCTGCCAGTTCCTAATTGGACCACCCCTCTTTGCTGAGGATAGCCTTTTTTAGTACCTGAGATTTACCCTGAGGCTTATAACAATGCAAAGCTGTCAAAATATTTGACCACAAGGTTGTTTTGTCTTTGAAAACTCACTCACTCTTTACTGTTGAGTCAGAGCCAAGCTATAGCTGGCATTCCAGTGTGTTTTCTGAGACTGTAAATCACATGGGAAGAGACTGCTCATCTTTCTCCCTTGGAGTGGATAGTGAATTCAAATCACCAGCCTTCAGTTGGCAGTGTAACTCCTTACCCACCAGATCTCCCTTGTCCTTTGAAAGGTAAATATAAATAAGATTATTTGGACTGTGCTGTCAGAAGAAGCATTACTGAATGTAGCATTCAACACTGCAAAAGTCCCAATACTGTTTGTAAACAACCATCTCCCTGTATATTCAAAATGCAAGGCCTCATTTTCCATGAGGACCTATTTCCGCTGAATAAAATGCTAGCCTCTTAGCACTTGAGGTCTGCAAAACAGAAAGATTAGATTAAATAATAGTTTGTTGCCCTGTAGCTACTGTCAATGTGGAATTGCTTGAAGGGTGCTTCTTCACATGCCACTCAACTCTAATTGCCCTACAAAAATAATTACCAAAAAATATCATGGTAGCATTTTGCCTTTCTCCTAGTTGAATAATTGTGACTTCTGAGAAGTCTTTTGTCTTTGAGCATTCTTGTGTGTTAGGAAACAGATTGAAACCTCTCCATCTCTGGCCCCAGGACCTCCATGCAAGTCATGGTGTGTGGAATATTTGAAAAGGCAAGACTCCTTTTGCCTTGCTTAAGCTCCTTCACAGCCAGTGTACCTGCAGACTTCCTTATTTGTGGAACAGAATGATACAATTTAACTCGACTTCCCTTAAATGTATGGGTGATTTAAGGATGGAATAGCAGACTTGATGGACTTGTGTTACTGAGGTTACCATCCAGTCCTTATACCTCTTAGAGTTTACTAATGCTATGGTGCCCTCCAGCACCATAACTCAAAGATGACAGTTTTTCACTTATCATTCTTAGTCACTGTGGAGCTCTCTGGTGCACAGCAAGTAATAGTAAAGACCATGGCTTGGATCAGGTGCACCTTAGTCTATAGATTGACATCATTGCTCTTCAGTACTCTGGCGAGATCCCTGACAGCAGATTTTATGAAATGCATTTCATCTTTTGATTTCCTGGCTGTTGGTACCACGAGTGCTGATTGTGGAGCTAAGCAGGATAAAGCTGTTAACAATCTTAATCTTTTCACCATTTATCATAATATTGCCAATTTGCCCAGTGATGAGAAGAGTGAAACCAGGCTGTTCTTTGGAGCAAGGCTGACATATTTTGGGCATGTTGCAAGGAGGTCCCAGACGTTGGAGAGGGGCATCAAGCTTGGAAAAGTGAACGGACAGCGCCGGTGAGAAAGACCCTGGATGAGATGAGTGACTGGGCTAATAGGGGTAGGTGTGTCAGAGACAATAAGGTTGGCTCAAGACTGAGCAGAGTTCAGAGCTATTGTACATAGATAGGGCCACTATGAGTTACAGGTGACTTGATTACACATAACAACAACAACAACAACAATAAAATCATATCTATCATGCTGTTAGGGACCTCTCTAAAGTACTCAGGAGCAACAGTGTCTCTCTGGAGACTAAGGTGCGCCTGATACAGGCCATGGTCTTTGCAATCGCTTGTTATGCATCAGAGAGTTGGACAATGACTAGGGAGGACAGAAGGAGAGTGGATGCTTTTGAGCTGTGGTGCTGGAGAAGGGCACTGAATGTACCCTGGACTGCCAGGAAAACAAACAGATTCATCTTGGAGAGGATTAAATCAGGCTACTCCTTGGAGGCAAGGATTCTGGGGCTTCGTCTGACATACTTTGGACATGTTGCCAGGAGGGACGGGTCCTTGGAGAGGGACATCATGCTTGGGAGGGTGGAGGGACGGCGCAGGAGGGGAAGACCCTCTATGAGATGGATTGATTCGGTGACTGAGGTAATCGGGAT